GGGAGCGGCCACTGCACTCTAGTCTGGGCGACAGAGTGAGACTCCAACTCAAAAAAAAAAAAAAAAAGGAAGAATTCTACAGCCAAAGTAATAAAAACAGGCCTAAAGAAGGAAGGTAAATATGAGAATAAAGCATAAGTTGCGGATTATTTGTGGACTTTATTTTCTGAGGCTCTTTCTAGCCCCAGGTTTCCTTAAGAGTGGACTCTGCCCAAGTGCTGGCATGAGTCCTGAATCAGCACTTTCTCACATTTCAGTACCTTTGCCCTGGGTAGTCCCTAGTGTGCTTTAATATTCAAATTGGCACCTCATCTGCTAACCACCTCTTCACTGCCTTCTCTGAAGGCTACACCCCTGCTTTCTGTAATATAGGCAGCCCAGAATAACTTGCCCCTTGACTTAGAGCACTCCACTCTCTGCAGATGTCCCTTGAAGGTCACATTCCTCTTAGTGATACCCCTGACTGTGAAGTTTAGATGTCTGATTACCACAGCCTCCTCTCCCCACATCTTTATAATAGTCTCAAGTATATTTCAAATGAGCTGGTGATTAGAGACTGATTTCTGATTTTGCACAGAATATACTGGCTCTTGGAAGTAACTGAAGTTTGAGAGAGGGTTTTGTAAACAAGCCAGCTATTGCCAGTAGGATTTTAAAGAAGTGCGCTATTTCAGACCGGCCCCTGAACAGATGCACCAATGGGTGAGCTTACTTAAATGGTAAAAATCCCTCTTAAGTTGGGGATGAGAAATGACCATGGGAATCATGGTGTAACAAGCATCCACTGAGGTCAAATTCCTTAAATCACTCTCAGCCCCAGAGTCCTTCTAAGAAGAGAAAAATAGCTTCTTTTCTGACATGTCGTGTTCGAGCAGCAAAGATAAAAATAATTCATCATCATTCCGCTGTCTTTTATTTCAGTACTTGCCCCAAAGGAAAATTCTGGTTCTTTTCTGTGTCTGATGGCACCTGTAAAAGTGTCCTGCACATTCAGTCATGTTGAGGTTTGCAGAATTCTTAAGATTGTGCCCATGCACAAATAAAAAGAAGCACACTGTCATCCTATTGAGAATCAGAGCAGTGAGGTCAGTGCAGAAAGGTGCTACTGAGTGAAAAAGGTAAATTCTCCCTATTGAGACTTTGTAGGCTCCTTTTAAAAATGAAATGTACTCCTGTGTTTGAAAGTACCTGTTATGTAGAAGGCTGGCAAAAGTGTTGGAAACCCTACCAAAGAAATGAAGAAGGTTGTTTTTGTAACAAATTTTAATAATTACTTTTATTAAGCACCTATGTGTGATGATTTATGAGAGATGCTGCCAGTTTTCATCCACATGGTGTAATACTCTCCTCTCAGGGCTCATGGGAAGACTACATGTGTAGTTAGGAAGGATAATGTGACTTGCCACTGAAAATAAGCCATTGAGAGCTCATGTTGGGATGTAGAACCACATCTAGGAAGCAGCCTGTATTTCTGGATCACCTGTCAGTAGAGACTCCTGACTATTCACATCAGATTTTATGTGTATGAGAAATAAATTTTTGTTGTTTTAAGCCATTCAGTTTTATTTGTTGCATTAGCTAGCAATTTCTTTGTCTGATTAACGCACAGCTACTATTTTTGTGGTTAGATGTATTCAAATATTTTATTTATTCTTTAAAAATGTTTATGCATTATTTTACTTTTGAGTGGCAATAACAAACACTTTACATGTAACACACACACACACACACACACACACACACACACACACACACACAAATAGTTATATGAGAAATAAACATTTTCCTGAAAGAATTAATATGAAGAATGACATTGTTTTATTTTTGTTTTCCTTAACATGTCTTACTATTCTGTATGACTATAATTGTAGGTACATGCCATTGTGCATTTGTACAAACCCATAGCATGTCCAACACCAAGAGTAAGCCCTAATATAAACCACAGACTTGATGAAAATGATGTGTCAAAATAGGTTTATTGATTGTAACAAATGTACCATTCTGATGTGAGATTTTGATAGATGGGATGTCAGTGTGTGTATGGAGACAAGGAATATATGGGAACTATGTACTCTCACCTCAATTTTGTTGTGAACCTTAAATTGCTTTTAAAAATGAAGTCTATTTTTAAAAATCACCTACAGGTAAAAGGTTTATACAAAATGCAAGATAAAGCAAGTAATTTTAATGTAATAGAGTGCAGAAAGTTCATGATACGGCTATAGATTCCACATTGTGACTAATCTTTAGGAAAACTACCACTTACTGAGTTTTGTTATACTATGAAAGAAGAATACCCACAATTGTCTATAGACAAAATGAATACCTCCAAATCTATTAAAATACTCCTCTCTTTTCTAATACAAACCTGTTTGAGGTCTAAATTTTTTTTCATTTACTTCCATCTAAACAGTATGTTACAACAAATTAAATGTAGAAGCAGGTGTCAAATGTTTTAATTACAAAGGAAAAAGTAATTCTTGTTGCAAAAATTTTAACAATACAGATAAGTCACAATCTCCCCTTTTCCTCAAAATTCAGTCCCTTCTTTAGAGGAAGCCACAATTAATTTGCTGTGTGTAATTTTAAAGCTGATCTGAGACTTTTTTCATACATAGCTGTGCTATTAAAAACATACTGAATTTGTAACATACATGGGTATGTCTCTTGACCTGGTCACTTAACAAAGTGAATGCAGAATATTTCCATGACCACGTATATAGATCTACCTCACTTAAAAAAAAAAAAAAAAACAACTTTTAATTTTTTTTATTTTAAAGATGAGGGGT